TAGCCAAAAAAAACATTGATCTTAGCGGCACCCGTTCGTCCCTCGTAGTCGTAGTAGTAGTCATAGCGTGTAACCTGTCGTACATTTTGACCTCCAAGTGGCTGCTGGTGAGAAATTTTTTAGATGCGGAAGCATCTTATACTCGCGCCTTGTAGTGCGCCGTCCGCGCCGTCCGCGCCGTCCGCACCGCTTCTCGAACATTCGACAGCTGACGCGCGCGCATGCGCCGTCGCGCCGTCGCCCACTCTTCCACCATCTGTGCATCCCTTCCTCCTCTACAAACCACGCGCGCTTCACTCCTCCACCATCTGTGCACCCTTCCTCCTCTACACACCGCGTTCGACATCTACAATTCTCCTAAATCTCCAGTGGACGCGCATGTGGCGTCGCGCTTCGAGAACATTCAACAGCTGACAGTGCATGCGCCGTCGCGCTGTATATATAATCAAGGTCGGCGCTCGCTCACTCAGTTGCCGCTCGTCGGTTGGTTTGTACGGCGCGTCGACGTCCAAGGTCGCGGTGAAATGAATTCCAACGAATCCACAAACACAATGATCGACGTCCCTTCGACCAGCGCCGCCCTTTCGCATACGTGTGTACGTGTTCACTCATTTAACACCCCCTCCTACAACCAATTTAGCCATCGACCCAAGTAAGTCGCAATTTAACACCCCATTTCACAACCACGTTAACCAATTTAGTCATCGACCCAAGTAAGTCGCACTTTAACACCCCGTTAACCAATTATATGCTCCGCATCCTCCTCAGTGTTCCCCCGAGGGAAGCTGCGGGCAATTTTTTTGTGCATTGTTGAACAATAAAAAATTTGCAGCGTGCGCGTTAACTAAAAGCCGAATCCTCCTGTCTCTCATTCCCCTTTAGCAGCCAGTGGCATGTACATTGAGCATTATCTGACAAGAAAGGGTTGCTAGGTTATACTCCCTTGGCATAACTTGCTTGGTTTTAGAAAGGTTTTGCGAGCGTTGGGCCGCAGTGCAATGAATACAGTGAACTAGTATATACCATGAACTCGAGGTGGTTAAAGGTGAGATGTAGACACGAAGCTCAAGCCGTAAGAAAGTGTGCGTGTGTCAACTCGCGTTTAGTCCTTGGAATTTCTGCTGGATGGCGGTGCATATGCGGAATATATGACGAAAAGATGCGAGATGATGGTACTTGGAGTGTTGAATAGATGGACGAACGGACACACAGACAGATGCATGGACGGACTCACAGATGGCTGCACCGACGGATGGACGCATGGACGAACGCAGGGGCGGATGCATTGACGCACGCGTGGGACGGACGCACAGATGGACCTGCGGACGCTCGAACAGACGCACGCACGGATGGGTGAATGGACGCACGGACGGTCACACAGACGGACGCATGGACGGAAGGAAGCAAGAACGAATGGACGGACGCATGCTTCGCCCCACTCGTCATCATTCACTCCATGGATATGCTGCCATTTTTTTCCGTCTGTTGGTGCGACCATCCCTGCGTCCGTCCGCCTGTGCGTGCGTGCGTTCGTCCATCTGTCCGTTCATCATGCCTCCATGTGTCCGTTCGTCCGCGCATCCATCCATCCGTTCGTTCATATGCTAATCTGTCCGTCCATCTGTGTGACCACCTAGTGAACACTCAAAGAACCGCCATCTCGCATCTTTTGAACTATTGTTCACCATATACAAGTACCGGCCTCCAGAGAACATCGCATCAACCCTTAGCACCAAAGTCTGTGCAAAGCGCGCATGTGTTTGCCGTCTTAATTTCTAGATAAAGCTTGTGCAAAAGTGCGGGACTGGGATATTCTTCTACCTCAAGAAGTGTGAGCGACAATGCCTGTGGCCTGTTTAGTTTACTGTGTGGTGCGGTGGCAAATACGTTCGCCTCTTTAGATAAATGTACTTGAAAATTCATTGAACATGGTGGGGGGAGGGGATCTTTGTTGTCCAAGACCTGGTTGCCACGCCGTTCATTAGCTATGCAGTCGGCGACCATTCGCGCAGCACTGTGGAAATTCTCAATGAGGTTGGGTGGAGCGCCCTAAATTTGTTCCAAGTGAGCTGGGAACCATACTACTGTGTTGTTGTACCTCCTTGATTCACAGGCTGTGCATGCCTGATTACGAAATGGTGTTCGTACCGAGTGCTTTGACTGCTGATTTGAGTGTCTGTATATTGTTGTTCTCCTGTCGTCTAGTAGGGCCAAGGCAATTGCGGCTTGTACGGCAACATCCGCCACTCTTGACCGGACCGACGAGAAGTTTGTAACAATGCCATCTTTAGGCACAGTTAGTGGAACGGTTGCTTTTCTCTTTCTGTAACGTGAAGCCTGAACGAAACAGCAACTCTGGAAATGTGCATGGACACTTTCCAGGGGGCTTCAGCTCTAGTCCGTCGTTTGCCAACAATGTTTTTAGGGTGAACACTCACGGGTATGGGTTCCACGGTTTATACGCTCTTGTTGTTCTGGTATCAATGCCTGTCGCGTGAACTCCAGACTTTTTCAGGGTGTTTGTTCCAGCAATGATGGTTGAAAGACTCGTGTATTGCGCCCTATCTTGTTACTCAGCTATCTCTTCCAATGTGATATGCGCGCCGAGGTGAAGCAGCGTCTCTGAGGTCGTATACATGAAAAGCCCGAGAGTTCTATTTACCGCTTTTCTAATCAGCGTGTTCTATTTGTCCCACTCCAACCACTGCCTGTCTTGCATTGCCGCTAGGTAGGCGACATGACACGTCACGAAAGCATGCACCAACATAGGTTGTCCTCACATAGTCCTTGCCACTGTTTAGCAACCTTTCTCGAAAACCTTAAGTGTTGTGTCTTTTCCTTGCCAGCTTCAGTACAGTCTGAATATTTGAACTGTTTAACTCAATGATCATACCGGCAAACCAGAGGGTGTTCACCCTGGGAAATATACTACTTTCACTTGCCCTTAGATGGATGTTATTGTTCTCTACAGGCTTGCAACATTTTGGTTTGGGGCCCCTGCGCTTGGGGCTGTTCAGTAGCAGCTCTGATTCCCGCGTTTACAATTGGAGTTCTGTAGATATGAGGTAGTTTTCTGTAACCTCGATGACATCTTGAAACACAGCTTTCAAATTCCCATCGCTGCCCCCAGTGGCGTGTTTGACAACCGTATGCTGTAAAACGCACGCGAGAGAGGGGAGATGCCCATGTCGTCTCCTACGTCGCTCATTGGCAGCGGGTGCCACGAACGTCATTTCTGCTGTAGCGCGAGAACACGACGACACAGAGACAAAAAGGACACGAAGGACACGAGCGCTTCTTGTCTCTGCGTCGTCGTTCTGTTTTCGCGCTCTAACTCTCGTCATGTCATGCCAATTAGTCCAAGCAGGCACACTGCTAAATCATTTCCGCGTTCAGTTACAATATTTGCTGTTTTTCGCAGTTGCCGCGCCAGCAGCCACGGCCGCCGTGGACTCGCCGGTAGCGCCGGTACTGAGAGAAGCTGTGAGTGTGCTGTGTTTTGTGAATCAGATTGCTTTTTGGTTTTTTCTGAACTAGTGAACCCCTCAGTAAACAGTCTCGGGCAAACTGCGTCGGGGGTGCACTGAGAGCAGCTGTGTGGTGGGGTGTGTTTTTGTGAATCGAATTGCTTTTGGGTTGTTTCCGAACTACTTATACCTTAAGTAAACAGTTTCGGGTGAATTGCATAGACAGACAGCACACAAGACGTATTTGTTTTCCGCAGCGTCACAAGCATCAGTGCTCGCTTTTTTCAGTAGATCCTGCAGCATGTTCGTCAAGGCTCTTAAACGCATGTGAAGTTTTAGTCCAGTCGGCTTATTGCGCTGTTGCAGTACGGCCGTACGTCACCGTTCATGTACTGACCAATTTTGAGGCTACCGACGGTATTGCCTACGTGATCGATGCATATCGTAGTAATTCCGAGTTTAAACTATTAGGTGCTAATATTACGCCCCAGTTCGTTTATTTGCCTGCAGCGAGAGCAGCTCAAAACGTGAAACAGTTGATTAATCACTGAATATGTCCTGTCTAAAATAAACTGCCTACTTACTTGACATTGCAGTGTTGGTTCGCAATGCCTGCCACAGATTTGCGGACGTTTTGCAGCAGTCATTGTCTAAAATACTGCACGTATATAACTTGCAGGTGACCGTGGGTAGCATTTGAAGCAAAATCAGGCAGATATGGGTAGTTGCAGTGCAAAACAAATACCAGATTTGACAACATGTGCGTAGCTCCAAACTGTATCACCCCGATAGTAGTGAGCAGCTCACTGTGATGACGAATAAAAAAAAAGATACATCACAGGCAAATGGTGCGAAAAACTGAACGCCACTTAAGGGTGGCTTTAGTTTTCAATATATTTCTGCAAGAATATGATTGTTTATGCGAGATGTTGTATTTTAATTACTTCCAAGGCCTGAGGGCAGCGCAGGACGGAGTAAAAAATTCAATGTACACAAATAAAGAAAGCATTGGTAATTTCCAATTTACAGTGTTACCTTTGTGGATGCGTGCTTCAGGGAGGATCAGAGTTTTATTATAAGTAAGCCACAACTATTGGACAGAGAAAGTAAAAATCTTGTGATCAATGTCATCAGGTTCCTCCTGTCGCCGCAATATTTTTTTTCATTGCAACCAACTCACTTTATTGTTTCTACGCTTCCACAATAAGCCTTCGCTGTGAGTCACTCTTGCTACCTTCATGTGGATGGCTTTAGACAGGCAACATGCATATTTACAATAGATTCCTGGCAGTTTTCTTCACCCTGGTACCTGCTAATGTGAGATTTTGGCAATATAGCTATTCCATAACTGTTTTAATGAACTTGATATATATTGACTTCAACACGCTGCGCTCAAGTGTGTAATAATACACAGTACTAGGCTGGGGTGTCAGCCATCTTCCTTATTTCTAACCTCTTCTTCATCCTCGTTTTCCTCCAACCCTGCCTAACGTCCACGTACACTCTCCTTCTTTGAAGACTCATCCCTCCTGGAGCGGTACATGAAAACGTTTCCAATGGTCACAAACTTTAGCACACCATCATCGTTGGTGTAACCAACCCTTTTGTGAACGCCATCATGTTGCACTGCAATCTGCACCACGCGATAAGGTCCCATGTACACCTGCTTTGTGCAGGAAAGGCCTTTTCTGACAAGCACCAGATCGTTCAGTTGTATCTGAGGTATCCGCGTGTTGTGGCGACGGTCAAAGTTCCTCTTCATACTTTTCCAGTATCGGTAGTAAGCTTCCGAAGTTTTTCGTTTTTCGCACAATTGCAGGCGGTCTGCAATGCAAAGTTCAAGATCAGCAGGAAGCTTTGGTACCTTTCCGAAAGCTGCAAATTCTGGGCTACAGCCGATGCTCGCAGTGTGCGACCAATTGCGATGAGCGACAGCTGCCTCAAAGCAGCACTTGCATCAACCCTAAAAACCTGGATACATTCAAATGAACTGCTTCGAATCTTGAATGATTCTTTCAGCCATGCCACTTCCTGCAAGATGGTACGGAGCGCAGCATCGCAATACAACTCCTCGTTCCTTCGCGCAGTCTTACAAACGCTGACTGAGAAACGCTGGCCCATTGTCTGATATTACTATTTTCATATTCTTGAGCATCTCTCGACTCAAAAGAGCGATCAGACTATTAGCGTCTTCTCTTCCGTGCCGTGCAGCCACTATTCTTCTGCACTGGTCCATTGCCACTAGGAAAGACTGCGTTCCTCTTACTCCTGCAGCCTTCTTCTTGAGCTTTGCGAAATCGAGATGAATGACTTCAAATGACTTCAATCCATCTCGTCTGTTATCTGAAGGTACTTGGCTTTGTGAACTTGACATTGATGACAAAACTGAGCATACCGTTGCACGCCAAGTTTCACGTGTTTCCACTGAAAACGCTTACGAATCTTGTGATATGTCCTTTAAAAGCCGTCATGTTCACCTGAGTGTGGGGAGTCGTGATAGAACTCCCAAATTCGAGGCACTGTTGTTTCTGGGACAGTGAACTTTCCGTTATGGAACTTAAGTTCTCAAGTTCCCTCCCACAACAATGTTGCGTTGACATTTTTATGATCAGGAATTACCGCAAGTCTTGAAAGCGCATCTGCGTCCTTGAGGTGTTCTCCAAGCGTATGGTGGACCATGAAAGTAAACTGCTGGAGTTCACTCACCCACCTAGCAATTTTTTTCAAGGGGCTCTGCGAGGTTAAGGATATACGTTAAGGCTTGGTGATCCGTAAAGAGCTTTAAGCTCCTGCCATCCAGGTAAGGTCTAAAATAGCGCACGGGCATTAAGAATGCCAAGGCTTCCTTCTCTGTAGTCGTGTAGTTCAGTTGAGTTTTCGAAAAGGTGTACGAATAGTACCCGACGACCCTCTGTTCACGGCTCCGTGGAGAGTTGTTATCTCTCTGGTAAAGCACTGCGCCTGTGCCATAATAGGAAGCATCGGTGTTCAGTTCAAAGGGCAACTTGAAGTCTGGAAGAGTCAGGACCAGATTCGATGAAATAATTGTTACAAGGCTGTGATAAAGAGATTCAAACTCTGCTGTCCACTGAAATGGCACATTCTTCTTGGTCATTTTTGTGAGGCATTTAGTTTTGGTCGCATAATTTCTAATGAATGGCCGGAAATGCCCTGCAAGACCCAGAAATACCCGCAAAGAGTGCATGTCATAGGGCTCCTTCATTTTTGCGATTCGTGCGACCGATTCCTGTTTTGTTGTCTTGGTTTGGCCGTCAAATACTCTTCCAAGAAACACCACTATACTTTGGAAAAACTCACTCTTCTTGCCATTAATTTTGATCTCGGTGTCACATAGTGCTTGAAGTACACTAGCCAGATGGTTTGAGTGCTCTTCATTGTTGCGGGAGTTTACTATTATATCGTCTATGTAGACGTTATAAAACTTCTCAATAAATGGTCGCAAGACGTCGTTCATCTTTTTCTGGAACCAAGTGGGTGAGTTCTTCCATCCAAATGGAAGTCGGTTATACTCATAGATGTCAAAGGGCGTGATGAAGGCAGAGTATTTTTTGCACTTTTCAGAAATCGGAACTTGTCAAAATCCTTTAAATAGGTCAAAGCCCGAGAAAACTCTGCAGGCACCCGTGTCATCTATTATAGACTCTATATATGGCATAGGAAACGAAAAAAGCTCAGTCTGCTTATTTATTATGTCTGTAGTCCGTGCAGAGTCAAAGACTTCCATCTTCCTTTGGTGCAATGGTGATGGGTGAAACGAACGTAAACGTGGATGGACGGATAATCTGCACATCCAACATCTTTTGAATCTCGTTCTGAAGTCACACTTTCTTCTCCCGTGACATAATATAGGGATTTTTTCTCACCACCGTCGTATCAATTAGCTTGAATGTAACCTCAAACTCCGTATTTGCTGTAGGATATCCTTTCAGGCACAGCAATTCCGGGTAAAGTGTCCTAACATCTTCACATGACGATGGTTTCCGCGGAGTCCTTGAAGGCGAAACTGCTGCGTTGATAGCGTGGCGCTTTTCTTCTGTGGTAATTTCGGCTGTCCAGTGGATATTAAGGCGAAGTGCACTGATGACTAGACGTGAAAGAAATAGTTTATACGGAACTCCATCGAGTACCACGGCTTGCGCAGTGACAGTGTTGCCGAGACACGATATTGTTATACAAGTCTATTTGTCATAAACATCTCGTCTTTCATCATATCCGTGTACTTCTACTGGTCTTCCCTCTTATACTTTTGCCCTCTAAACATCATTTGTGTTAAAAACCATGACGCTTGCTCCGCTGTCAACTAACGCACTTCGTTCCTTTCCATCCACAAAAACAGATATGTACAATAGACTTGTATGTGACAAATAAACAGCTTCTCTTGAAGCCGTCGGGTGGAAGCCGAGACCCTCGCCATTTAGTTTTTTGTTACGTCATCTAGCTCTTCGCCATGGTCTGAGCCTCCCTGGGCGGTCGAAAAGAATACGCGTGTTGCAGTAGGTCTCCAGTTTGTAAGCGGGCGTCGTTTCTCAGCTTGTGTGGCCCCGGTATTTCTTGCAGCAGGTGTCATAGGTATTTTAACGTGATTGCTTTGTCCCATGGCAACACCTTGTTCTCACTGAAGAAGCTCAGAAATCTTGCTTTCCCCTCTATCCATGGTTTGTTGCTGGGAGCGTTGAGACGCGACACAGTGTTTCCTGAAACAGAATGAAGAAAGTTCACGTTCATTAGTGAACTGAACTGGGTCGGGTGGTATGTACATTGCAAAATGTTGGCTTTAGCCAAGTTGTACAGATCTGTTTAAAACCCGAAAGTACAAGCAAGCAGTAAAAACTTCTCCAAACATGAACGGCAGCGTACGGCTGTTAGAGACGGCCGTTAGAATTGTGATTAAAACTACAACTAGGGTTGTTGAAACTTAGGCATAAGCTCAACACGCGGGGTGGAAACGAGCTCCCCACGCTGTGGAATCCCGCGGCCATGGTAGTACGTCTCGTTCCAAAGCCTAAATCTTTTCGTCTACTACTCCTCGGAATACCACGAGTGTTCAGGTGCCCTTGCCCACGCAGTCAGCCCCGACACTGTTTACTGACGATTTCAGTAATTCGGAAACAGCCCCAAAGGCAGTCTGAATGGCATGCTGGTATATCGGCATCATCCGCTCCTGATCGCGCTAGCGTGGCCGCGGCGACGGCGGTGAGCATGAACGAAGGCGTCAGGCATTGCGCGGAAATGACGTTTGCACTGGTGGTAGCCAATGAGCGCCGTAGCAGACAATATGGGCATCTCCCTTATCTCTAGCGCGTTCTCCCGCTAATGGTTGTCAAACACGCCCCCAGGTGCACCACATGTTGACGTCGTCTTCATATAGGGTATGACTATAACCGTCAACTTCCGAGAGTTTTCCGGACAGACGAATCTTGGAAAGGTAAGAGAGTGTATGGTTTATAAATGAAACCTTTGGAGTTCCCTTAAAACCAAGTTTAACGTAGTCAGAATCGACGTCTTCCACTTGAAAGGTGGCTTCTCTGCCTACGAAAAAGGATCTTGGGTACTGAGGAAAGTTCTTGCGCAGAACAAGGCTCGAAATCGTTCCCAAACCATAGAAGTGCAGGAGGTTGTCAAACGCGTTTTCGAAGTCAAGCCCAAGAATGCGTATCATGGCCCTCGTGTTGCCATCAATGATCTGATTCTTGATTAGCTTCATGACATCTTGAGTGGAACGCCCAGGTCTGAAGCCTATCATGTTGTGACAATAGATGTCATTGTTTTCAAGTGGCCGAAGAGTCTCTTCTGAATGGTGGTCTGGTCTACCTTGCCGCACAAAAAGTGAGCGAGATGAGCCTAAGATTGTCGAGACTGGGTGGCTATCCAGGCTTGGGAGTAAGAATGACCGTGGCCTTCTTCTATAGTGCTGGAAGATTTACGTTGCTTCATGACTGTTTCATGAACTCAGTGAAGCGCTCTACTGATTTGTCATCCAGGTTCCTAAATGCTTTCTTAGTAATCTTGTCTGGACCGAGTACCAATTTGCCATTTAGGTAGTGAAGGGTGTGCTTGACTTCTTTAGCTCGAAACTCCGCATCCAACTCTGGGTTCTGAACGCCCTCATAATTCTTGAGGGCACGACCATCTATTGGGCTGGAATCCATCTCTAGGTACTTGCTCACAAGTGTTCGTGTAACTTCATAGTCCGTAGATTCCTGTCTGGCTGCGTGAAAAATGCTTCCCAGTGTGCTTCGTTGATTTCGTTTGGTATTTGTCTCATCTAGCAAGGGCTGGAAAAGGTTTCAGGGCCCGGCACGCCCTATTTGACCACCAATGGAACCACAGACATCGTCCCAATGTTGCCTGGACAGGAACCTGCAATGCTGCTCTGTTGTTCTGTTGTTTGTTGTTTTGTTGACTTCGGCAATAATCTTTCGAAGCCTTCCGTTGAAGTGCTGCCCCTTCTAACTGAACAGGACCGACCTCTTTGCCTGTATCGAATGTGCTAGTCTGCTACCATGTGCTCTACCGAAAGGTCCACGCTAACTTCCTTGGGGGAAGCCTTGATATCTCGTGCAATCTGGGTGGTCCAGCGTTCGAGATCGGGCTTTCCTCGTCTTCCTCATAAACCTCCCTAATCTTGCGAAATTTTTCCTAATCGGTGACCATGCACTAGCAAAGTTTTCTCTGTTCTATTTGCAATATCGTTGCCAGGATGTAGTGGTGACTAGCCAGGACTATGTTGAAGTTGACATACTTAGCTTCCGCCGCTCTTCCGACGAAAGTCAAGTCAGGAGTAGTGTCCCTGCTAGTCGACGTACCACACTAATCGGGAATCTTGTGTCGGGGACAAGCATCAAGTCCCAGTTGAGCGCCTCCCTTCAAAGATCCTCTCCGTTGCGTGTATACCCTACATAGCACTTGGAACGATATAGAGCATTAAATTCGCCAGCAACGACCAGTGGCAAGTCTCATCAAGCGGCGATGCCCTGTACACGATGGTCCTAAAGCGCTGTCTCAAGTTTTTGGGCTTCTGTAGATACTGTCACGGGGTTGTGACCCGGCTGAAGGCAGGGGACTAGATGGTCAGACCAAACTGTTTATAAGGGCGCACTTGTGCCCGGTAAACGGAAAGGGAAAGTAGGGTTGCACTGATAGCAGCGAATGCAGCGTCGGCCGTCGATCAGCTGACCAGCGGTAAAGCGTGTCGGCATTTTTACACTCGCTATTGAACATTCTAGTGCTATCGCTCGAGGCGACGCAGATTGCGGAATAATCAGAAATGCTTAAGAAGTGAGCGTTACATCAACAAAATGATCTACTTCAATCCTGAAGCTGCTCGAACTGTGTAGGCACCGTTTGCGTTCAGAATCGTGTATAGTGTAACGGGGTGACAAGAAAGCTTAAAGAAGAAACGTGGCATTGCCCCCCACTGAAAAAGGCATCGTTCGTATGCTTTGCCATAAGACGAAAGTGTAGTAATATTGTAAGAAAGCACAAATAATAAAGTATGATACAGCAATAACAACGAAAACAACAAAATACACTCTTTGACTTCATTAACGTTCATGAAACGGCTTCAGGCGCGTGACGTGGAGGACTTGAGGTCGAGATCGACGCCTTTGAGAGTTCGCAATGCCAACGGGCGGAGTAGGCTGAGACGTTGTACTACCCTTTATGGTCCGAAGTACCGCTGCAGAAGCTCTCCACTGAGTCCATATCAGCGTATTGGCTTCCACAACCAAGCACGTTCACCAGACTGGTATTTCACGAAGCGTCGCCGAAGATTGTAACGGTGGTGGTCGGTCGTCTGCTGATTCGTGATGCACAGGCGGGTGAGTTAATTAGATTCCTCAGCGCGCTGAAGATAGAGGACGACGTCGAAGTTTTCTTCATCAGCTACGTTAGGCAGCATTGCGTCGAGCGTCGTTCTCGGAATCTTTCCGTAGACCAACTTGTACGGTTGCATCTACACTGTGTCCTGCATTGCCGTGTTGTATGCAAACGTCCCGTACCAATCTCACTTATCCCCACCAATCTCACTTATCCAACATTCTCTAATCGATTCAAAACCGTGCTGCGCGTTTTATCTACTCTGAATACGCCTACCATTCCAGTGTTTCCAAACTTAAAACTCGTGCTCACCTTTCTTATCTAGAATTACGACGTCACATATCTCGACTATGCTTTTTTCACAAATTTTATCATGCCCCCATCAAAGTTCCAGCCATCCTGCCAGTCCATCGCTCATCTAGCTGCACAAACCCTTCAAGCGCAGTGTATCCTCCACTAGCCCAAAGCACCGCACATCTTCGCTCCTTTTTTGTCACAACTGCACGGGACTGGAATCGTCTGCCTACAACTACCGTGCACCACTCCGACCCGCATGAATTCAAGATTGTCCTCGAATCACTGTTTTTCTGTAATTATTACCCATCCCTCATGTAATACCCCAGCTGGGGCCTTTGAGGTATTGAAAATAAATATATAAATAAATAAACTACACCTCCATTGGTTGCTCCCCTTAGTTTTGCTAATACTGGCTAGGCGACCGGCTTCGGTATGGGCTAGTGTGCTGACGACAATCGGGTGATATGTATCGGCTGGTTGAAGGTGAACGAAAATATTCTAGGGGTCCCATCTGCGTTACGAAGAGATAGTCGGCGATGTCACGTGGTATTTCGCCTCACTGTGGACGCGCCGCGTTGGTAGCCATACCAAGTAGTCCCATCTGACGGTACTGGTAAGGGCGATAGGTGTGGCTGGTTTCCCCGCAGTGGTAGCTGAGAGGCCGGTGGTCCTGGGCGTGCCACACGTCGGTTTTTCTTGGAGAATTCCGCTGGCCGGCGGGTGGCCGGTATGGCTTCGTCGGTGGCGGCGGCGGTGTCTCCCGACAAAATGCAGTGGCGCGGCTTATTGACTTGGACGTGGAGTATAGCGTCCGGCCGCAGCCATGTAGCTTATGGGTAGAGGTTGCGGTTGCGATGTCTCAGCGATACCCATTGTTTGCTGCATTTCTACTCTGACAAAGCTGCCATGACTAGAAAATTCCGTAAAGCTCTTCGCTTCGCGCACTACAGCCCTTGTGGTCTCGCGCAGCTCATCGTAACATAGTGGTTGTACCTCTGCATTGTCTGGAGCCGAGCGGCAGTTGAACTGTCATGTTTGCATTTCGAAGGTTTTTTTTAAATAGTTGTCGCTTCTGAGAGAAATTCTATGCGGTCTTCGGTGGGTTTCTTATCAATCGCCTTCCTTTTTAATTCCTCGAATGAGGAAACGAACTTTTTAGGGGCGAAGCTCCTTCAAGCGGCACCCTTTCGTTCTTGGTAGTAGTGCGTAACATGTCTTACACTATGATCTGCAAAGTGGGGCCGGTGGGAGATTTCTCTCATCTGTTGTCGAACAATAAAAAGTTCTCAGCGCGCGCGTTAACTAAAAGCCGAAGTCTTCTGTCTTTCGTTCCGCATTAGCAGCCATTGGCATGTACATTGAGCCCTACCTGACAAGAAAGGTTGGCTACGTTATACTCTCTGGGCATAACCTTCTTTGACTTAGAAAGGGCTAGCGAGCGTTGGGCCGCAGAGCCATGAATACATTGAACTAGTATATACCATGAACTCGAGGTGGTTAAACGTGGGAAGTAGACACGAAGCGCAAGCCGTAAGAAAGTGTGCGTGTGCCACCTCTCATTCAGTGCTTGGAATGTCCG